GGTTTATCGGCTAAGGTTACAAAACCCCAGAACATTATGACATCATAAAGTGGCCAGAATCTGATCAGCTAACTTTAAGACTAGGGCTGCTCAATTAATCNACTTATATAGCACTTTATCCAGTCTTTACGACCCCTCAAAGCGCTTTACATGCTACATGTCGTTCACCCATTCACACCCATTCATACAGAGCAGTGTACCTTACTCTAGGACCTAACATGCATACACATTCACACACCGTTGGCCATGGCATCGGGAGCAACTCAGGGTTAAGTATCTTGCCCAAGGATACATCGACATGTTGACTGCACGGGCTGGGATTTAACCCACAACCTTCTGATAGAAAGAAGACCACACTCCCTCGCAGCCACAGTCGCCCTTGAAAATGGAAAACATGGAAAACATCCACTAAGAGACAAATAATTACAAAAAGAAGACTCAAAGGGACAACACGGAGGTGTAAAGTGTAGGAAATGGGATGCGAGCGATTCACAATGTTTTAGACAAGATTCAAAATAACTGCAAAGCATTGTAAAAAGTCTAAAAAGATATATAAAACAAGCACAAAGACAACAGATAAAAGAAAAGAAACTAAGAAAAAAAAATAAGACACAAACATACAGTAATACAAAGAAATAGCCAGTCATTTTGTCTAAATATCCTCTGGGCTATTTGGAGTAACAATTATTTATTATTGTTGATTGAAATGTCTTTTTATTTAGAATATTTAAACATTGATAACTGAATCAACAATCTTACTTTATATAATGTACAGTTTTATGATTTAAATATAGTGCCTTCCATTTGAGCTCTTGTTCAAAACGTTGATTCAACATTTTTCCACTTTTATAACTTTACTTACTCATCAAAACATGAAAAATTAATTATCATAAATATTCTCTTTTACAATAGAGTGCATTATTACTGATACATTGTTGTATATACATTTAAAAAGCAGGTTGAATGATAAAGCAGAGTTCAGTTATTATGCTCCAAATATCTGGAACAAACTCCCAGAAACCTGCAGGTCCGCAAAAACTCTTACTACTTTTAAATCCAGGCTGAAGACTTTTCTTTTTGTCGCTGCTTTTAATTGAACTATTCACATCTTAAACTGCACTGTAACTTTTATCCATGTATTTTTTCTTTTAATGTTTATTTTATTAGCTTTTCTTTTTAATGACTGATTTTAATTTTCTTAATGTCTTTCATTTTTTGTAAAGCACTTTGAATTGCCTTGTGTTGAAAGGTGCTATATAAATAAACTTGCCTTGCCTTACCTTGAAAAAACTGAAAAGATTCTGTCATATTAAAAACTTTAACTTATGAATACTATTTTTAAATGGTCACTGTACAGTATATTTTATTTAGCTTGAACATGTTTTCTTATGTTCTAATTTAATGACTATATTGATGGAGGATTAAAACCCATGTTGGAAAATAAACTGGTGTTTTGTGAATCTGTTTCTCCAGCAGATGGAGCTGCATCTTTATTTATTCTATCATTGGGTTGTTCAAATGTTAACTTTTTCTGTGACACACTGACTCTATCTTGTATTGCTGTAATGATGATGATGCAAAGTGAGAAGTTAATCTATTGTGAAACCCTCGGTTATCAGATTCAGAAGTAATCGGATGTGTAGGCTCTTACTGTCGTGAGTGTGTGTGATGCTATGATAAAAGTTGTGGTTTCCTTGGAGCAGGTACACCCCCTCACTAACAAACTGTTTTTATGTATTACATCTCCTCAGTATATATTGATAAAACATGGGAGGGTTTGTTAGTTTGGAATGGATTGTGTATAAATGTCAGGCTTCTTTCCTAAAGCCTACAGGACCCTAATGTTTTCAGTTTCCCATGGCTGTTATTTTTTCTTACTAAAATCCTATATGAGGAAATGTTTCAAAGTGGGGAACATGATTTTATTCAGAATATATAATTTAGGTTATCATGATATAACTTTTTATATATTTTGTAACAAAAGATGTCTTAGATCTTCCAAGGGTAAATCGTTGTATTTTAATTATTACATAAATAGTTCACATTTTACTTAAAAATGTTGTATTACTGATTTAGAGTTAACAGATTATATTATATTCCTATGGTGAGCACAGGCTATATACTTTTTACTGACGCCTGTAGATCCCTCCATCCTTCGTAACGTCAACTGTCTCCTGGGAGCGATATCCCTGCCTTCCTCTATCCTCACAACACAGCCTGGCTTTGATGGAGAGATCACACACACACACACACACACACACACACACACACACACACACACACACACACACACACACACACACACACACACACACACACACACACACACACACACACACACTTTCTTGTGTGTAGTTTGCAAAATGCACGATACAAACCTAAAGTATTTTCTTTTCAGGGAGACCATTAAGCAGGATTTAGATCTTAAAGTAATGCAACAGAATGTAACTTAGAAATGTGTCATATTGGGTAAAATGAACAATCTGATGAAGCTTTTATTACATCATTTGGCATTCTTTGAAAGCTATCCCCACGTTTGAATCTGACTTGACATCTTAATTCACACACAAACCATTTTTTTCAAGTCTTTTATTCAATTTCTGCTACAAAATTAGGATTATTTGCATCTCAAGTAGTTTCTCAAGGATTCACATTATCGTCTCTGCCAGTGAACAAAAGCAAAGTGTAAACAAACAAAGTCCTCACACTGCAGGAAGCCGAGCAGGCGTGTGTTTGCACCGCTGAACTCAACACAACATACATAATTCACCGCCTGCATGACGCTCTCTGAACAACAGTTCTTCTGTTACTAAGGCTCCTCAGTCCGAAAGACAATACTCGGTGACAAACAGCACATCTGATCACTTCTCCTGTCTCCATAGCAACCAGGTGTGATAATCCTTGGCTGCTCTGTGGTGACCAGGTTCATGCATATCATAAGAAAACACTTACAGTAAAGGGATAGTTGGATGTTTTGAAGTGAGGTGGAGCGATGCACTTATCTACACATTTTTAAAGCCTTAACACATAGGTTTTTTTTCATTTGCACCTTTTTTTGCCATGAAATAAATTGTTGTAAAAAAATATGTAAATTATTTTACAAAATAAAAATGATAATGTTATATTTAAAAAGGTAGGGTATGTAAATTTGAGAAACCGGCTCGAGATCGCTAGAATTTGAAAATACACGACGGGAGAAAATCTGCCACTTCGTTATAGAGCCCCTCCTCCAACACACACGAACGCGCGATAAATTTGTGCACAGATGGAAGGCTAACAGGCAGGTAGGACATCCAGTTATTTTAGCCGGGCCGGCTAAAATGATTGGTCGTGCTTTTTACAGTACTACGGCTTCCACAGATGACATTTTTTTATAGATTTTTTGTCAAAGCACTTACGATATTCATTGCTATCGGGATGCTAAGAGCATTCCATAGAATATAACAAAAAGTGTATCTGGAGCCGGTTTCTCAAACTTACACCCTACCTTTAAATACAGCTCTGGAAAAATGTAAGAGACCACTCCAAGTTTTTCTTGAATCTCAATCTCTACATCAGGGGTGTCCAAACTATGGCCCGGGGGCCAAATGCGGCCTGCAGACCATTTTGAATCGGCCCTCAGCAAATTCAAAAAGTATAATGGAGTATGGCCCAAAAATGAAACGTGTGCTTGTCTTATATTGTATTTCTTAAATATAGATGAAAACAGATATTACACAGTGTTCACGTGTTAAGAAGCCCACTCTTCAAACAAATTCAGTCAATTAAAGTTGAAAACATTTTCTATCAAATCTAAGTCGATAAGTTCCAGTGTCTGTTGAATTCCAACACAGAGAAATGTTGTCAGTAGCTTATAGAATCAAATAAAAAATAATAATATTACCCAAACACATACCTATGAATAGTAAAACCATAATTTTGCAATGTTCTCTTAATTTATTCCAGTGCTGTATTTATATTATTCCCTATTCCTATAGGCATCAACCACGTAGTGCGGATCGTACATTGTGTACAAATGTACACAATATCGGTGTATCTCAGTGGTATGTGTATATGTACCAATGTACCATGAAGATGTTTATTGTCTATTAGCAGAAACAGGAGGTGTGTGACGCAGTGGGTTGTGCGTATGTGTTGGGATAAGGGGGTCACAGGTTCAAACCCCACTGCAGTCAGCATGTCGTTGTGTCCCTGAGCAAGACATTTCACCCCAAATTGCTCCTGTGGGGATTGTCCACAGTATTGAGTATGTAAGTCGCTTTGGATAAAAGCGTCTAACAAGTGACATGTAATGTAATGTAAAACATTTAACGGGGCTTCTTAGTCTAAACAAAGATGCATATCTCACTGCTCTTTTTAACCCTGACAAAAGAAGTGCATACAGGATCCACTTTTCCGTTCTAACCTTTCACAATAAAAGCCCTAGACTGTGTACCGTTTTACCAGAAGGAATTTAAATGCAGTCTGAGCATTCAGCTAAAAGAGAAATCAATTAAAGTAGAGAGTAACGGCAAATACACTTCTCTCTTTTTCTAAGGATGACATGGCGCACATCTAGTCAAACCACTGTCGCAATCGGTGCATTATGAATATTTTCTATGCAAAATATTTGTACGCAAGTATTTTGCTTATCCTGTTTTTTTTTGCCTCGCCAAACCAAAACACCAACAAAATAACTGATTGAGGCAGCAGTAGATCAGCAACAAGGTTTGCAAGTTCAAATTCACTTGTTTGTCCATGTCTGGTAGCTTTGAATCTAACAGTTTCTGAACCCTGTTGAAAAGGGCCACCTGACAGCAAGGTAAAGCAGCTAAATTATTTTAAATATAGTATTCAATTTAACTGATATGAATTGTTTAGTAGTCTAAATATGTTTTGCTGCTACCCCAGTCCAAAGAAGTACATTGCTTAGATTTCAGCAGGTGCTCCCATCTGTTTCTCCAAACCTGAAGCCAACCACCATCTATTTTAGGTAGAATGACTGTGGATAAGTAGATCAAAAAACCTTACTTCAAAAATAATTAACTATCCCTTTAACTGTAGAATAATTTACTAAAAAAAAAAACATAAACACTAAAACAAAGGCAATGAAATCGCCCTCCATTAGCACTTTGGCAACAATGTTTAGATTCTCTGAGTTATTTCCTCACATGATTAGTTGAGCTACAATATCTCTCTCTCCTCTCCTTTACTTTACTTTACTTCACCTGCAGTATACCAGGCCAGAGAACGTCGTGTCACCCGGTTACGGGAAGCAGATACCGTGACTCATACTGTTTCATCCGGAGATCCTCTGCTGCTCCTCATAACTGACTGACCTCTTGTTTTTCATCTCATGACTGGATGCAATTCTTCTTTTGATGCCGCCGGCGGCTTTTAGTTCCTGTTGAGAAAAAGAAAAAAAGAAAAAGGGACTTAAGTATAAAACCTGAGGGCACTTACAAAGCATAGACCTCTGCCAATGTCAGAAATGGTTTTGTTATAGCCCCTCAAATGTGAAAAGGACCAAATTATAACACTGACTACAATTACATCCAGTTTTTGCCCTTATTCAAAAAAGAATACAATATTCCTGCTAAGCATGGCAGACCTCAGCTAAGTCCAAGTTGTACCAACCTGAAGTGGCCTTAACATAAGGTGACCAGATTTTCAAAATTAAAACCGGGGACATTTTGAGTTTTGCGGTCTATATATCATTAACATATCCAATTTTCTTCACTGTTAAAGAAAAAAGGGGGACAATTCTGGTTCAATGTAATTCGAACATTTGAACTGTTGGATACAAACAGAAGGACGATAGGTCTTTTATTTTGAAACTGTACATCAGATTGTCCATTCTCTCTGAGTGATTAGATGGGGTGTCCTGCTATCACCCTGGAGTGAAATAAGTCTTTGATACTGGATAGTTCTTGTTTTATTCTTATCTAAAAACAGAGGGATGATAGCTCATACTGTATATGAGACTTCAAAGGTCTTTTATTTTGAAACTCTACATCAGATTGTCCTGATTCTCTCCGAGTGACTAGATGGGGTGTCCTACTATCACCCTGGAGTGAAATAAGTCTATTTGACAGTTTTTTATTTATTCTTGTATAAAAACAGAAGGACGATAGCCCATATATGAGATTTCAAAAGTATTTTATTTTGAAACTCTACATCAGATTGTCCGGATTTTCTCTGATTGACTAGATGGGGTCTCCTGCTATCAGAAATAAGTATTTGATTGACTTCGAATGACTCTTTGATTATGGACAGTTTACATTAAAATCAAAATATAGATGGACAATAGATCTAATTTGAGATTTTAAACTGCATACATTTTAAATTGTGCTTCAGAAAGTAATGTTATTTTAGGAGTGTTGTGAGATGGTGTCAACATCAATTGAAATTAGTCACCCAGTGGAAATGTCAGATGTCTTCATAACTGTATCCTTCATTTTACATTCACTCAGTTATAATGTGGTAGTTATGTGTAGTTTCTTTTTAAATTATTATTGATCACATTATATAGTACATATTTCTTGATTTAAGCTCCAGTATATGAATATGTTTGGTGTGTTTTTTTAGGTATATTTTTTATTGACCGAGTAAACGCTTTTATTTTGAAGGCAGTTTTTACATGCCTCTACCGTAATGCATAGGATACTCGCGCACCGCAATACAACGTGCGGGCTGGCTTGACTGTGTTTTTCGAAGTGGGGGCTGGCTTGACCACAGTCTGTTTACGCAGTGTTTCCTGACATGAAACGTTTTATTTCACCTTGCTATGTGTTTTTAACATATAAAAAACGGGGACATTTCCTGGGACAGTTTCAACTGGGGACAGGTCAATACAAACGGGGACTGTCCCCGGAAAACGGGGACGTCTGGTCACCCTACCTTAACATGAGGTGTGTACAATTATTCCTTCAGAAGGCGGTTAGTAGTTCTAACAAATCCACTAGGGGCAGACTTGCTCATCTCCAAATACATGCCTTATATCCTAGCCTTTTTATAATGTTTAAACATAGGAGTGTTTCTCCTTCTGACCAGAAATATGGGATTTTCTCTTGATTTAGTTACTAAAACAAGAGGAAATCCCACATCTTTCCACATATCAGAGCTAGCGATAAGCAGGTTTAAGGCAGGAGTAAAAATACACAATTGAGATGCATGTTCTGACATTTTATTTAACAAACTAATAAAGGAAGTAAAATACTCTGCACACTAGGCTAAATCAAATGCTAGCAAAATCAACATTTAGTTGGAATTTGAACCACTATGAAACAAACAAATGATTAAATAAAATACTTTGTGAGGACGTACCGTCTTCGTCTCCTGTGTTGATGGTCTGCAGGGACATGCTTCTCTGAAGGGTCTTTAAGGGCTTCTTGATTTTGGGTTTCAGTAAATCCGGTTTCTCAATAATCGCAAAAGAATCTTCCATCTTATTTGTATTTGCATTGCCATTTAGCTCTGGCACCTTACAGACAGGGGACTGGCTCTGAGGAGTGACCACGTCTTCCTCTATAGTCTCTGAACTCTGATTGGCTCCTCTGCCTTTCAGGAAGTGCCTGAAAGAGCTGCGTTGTTTCTTAGCTCCAAAAAGCTGGTTTCTCTTCAAGCTTCCCTTTCCATCCTCGTCCTCGTCCTCTGCAGGGGAACCAGGACTCTGAGGGGGGGCTGGGTCCACCTTGTCCTTGCTGCTTTGAAGCATGCCGTTCTGCAGGCCGTTCCTCTGGATCAGCCCCCCAACTAGCGAGTCGCTGACTCTCGACAGGTCTTGTAGGGAACCAGTGAGGCCCGTACTGTTCCCAAAAACTAAAGAGTACTTAGGGTTGTGATATTTATGTGCAGGCACCTTTAAGTCTACCTGTCTAGAGTCCCCGACAGATACTTGAAAGCGAGACATGGACACAGGAATTGGCTGGATTCTCTCCACCTTTGGCATCCTGATGGGCGTAGAAATTGGCGGCTTGGTGATGTTGAACTCCTGGTAGAGGTCCACCAGCTCGGACACGGCATAGAGCTCCCGAAAGTCATTATCAAAGGAGTCCACAATCTGTCCCGACATCACAGTGATCGTGTTCCTGTCCATCCGAGAGGAAGTCCAGGTAAAGCTGGAGGAGAGAAGAGATATTTAAACTAATACTGTGGAGGAAGAGCAGGATTCTTAGTTTGTATCCTTTTTTAATGATGATGCTAAGATATTTTATACCGACTTTATACTTACCAAAATAAAATAAAAAATACAATAATTGCTTAGGGTCAAGGATATTTTTGCCCATTTTTTTTTAGACATTGACAATTTTCATTTTTTTTCACAAAACACTGACAATTATTTTTAAATCTTATCTAAATAAACTAATTATAAAATCTTATCTCCCATTTTTTTAAAGATTTGTTTAGACTTTATAAAGATTCATTCAATATATATGAACACCTATTAAGGCCTTTACATTATGCAGTACCATGCATTTATTGTTTCAAGGTTAAAAACATGCCTACATTCAAATATACACCTTGCTATATTCTTGTCTTTTCCAACAAAATCTGGCATTTTATCTCATGTAAACAAACCTTAATATTTTTTAAAAACTGATAATTTTGCCGACCCTAATGTCTTGACGTGAACTTCCATTTATCACACAAGTCGAAAAATCACCGTGTTCATTTCACTTTGCAGAAATCAGTCTCCGGTTTTGATTTATTTAATAATTGAGTTCATAGCACACTGAAAATCAATTACCTTTGGGACCTTTTTGTCAGTAGTTATGTTTGGTTTTCACAGTAGATTTGGAGGAGAGAAGCTTCAACTACGCCTGTAGAAAGAAACCCACTTGTGTGTGATTTCTTGCTTGGAGAGAATTACAATGAAATACCTCTGGCTATTAAACAGTTGGCCTTAATTGACGATGTGGCAACTTCAAAGGACCTGGTTGGCTGGCTGGTAGGTTGCGCCCAGAGATGTCATCAAAGGACTGATGGATGAACAGTAAACATGCCACACACACAGAAAAGACTGAATGGAAATATTCCAAAAGTAGAAAGCAACATGGGCCTAAACTAAAGCAGGCTCTCTTTTGGATTCAAGAACCTTCAGATCTGTTTTCCCTTAAAAGCGATATTAAGCATTAAATCAGGATTTCTCAAATACGCCAAAGAGCTGCTGCAAACCAAGCTGTCCAGAAAGAGCAACAAAAAGAACAATTAGAAATACAGCGCCTTCAGGCAGAGGTCAAAAGGAAGATAGCAGATCAAGTGCCAACAATCGTAAAGCATCATTTTAGAGTGAGAATCTGAAGATTTAAACTGGGAGTAGAGAGAGGGAAGTCTTTTGGATTCTGCTGCTCACCTGTGCTCTAATTCTTACTCTTGTTAGAGAAGTCAAGCTATGCCATTACTCGTACTTATGAAATAATCTAAATTACAACCATTGATGCAAGTAAACACTTTAACTTTTTGACAGAACATTTCCTGTTATTAAGAAAAAATATAACACTCGCTTATATTGGCTAGCGCTCCCACAGTTTGTGATATGCTAATGAGTGGGACATCCCTAAGCAGTTGATAGATCATAACAGAGCTGGTCAGCTAACCAATCAGAGTAGACTGGGCTCTGGTTTTAGACAGAGGGTGAAAAGAGGTAGTGCAGCACAGGCAGTATGAGAAAAATAAAAAGCTTTTTGATCAATAAAAAGTGAAAAAGTAGAGACACAAAATACAAATATGAACTCTAAAAATGAGCATACGAGGGCCACTTTAAGCAGGCGGCGGTTAAAAGGAATTATGTGTCCTTGTGCACTGCAGACAATTAAATTCCTGCCAACATATTAAATGAAGCGTGGAAACAGTTTAATAGAATTGAGGCCACAAATTATAACGTGCCATCATGCCTCTCTTTGGAATTGAAATGTCTGTATTGAGATACAAATATTATTTTGTCCGTACTTTAGGTTGAACTAACATGTGCTTCCTGTATTTACAATTGTTCTTACTGTAATAGAGTGGTGAAGTGACGCGTCCTAAAACCCGGAAGTGAGTTAGCATTTTACCACTTCCGGTTCCCTCGTCTCAGAGCCAATGGGATTTCTCCATAGGATTTTGGAAAATAGCTCGAAATAAGGTCTGTGGTTGACAGAAATTTAAGAGACGGATCACGTTTTGTTCTACGACATTAAATACAGCAGTGACCCCACTGGTGATTTTTGAAGAGTTTAGGTGTCTGAAAAACGATGGTTGTTAACATGTGGCTGAATAGGACTGCAGAAGTTGTCGAGGACGTTGTACGTCATTACACCGAACACGACGTAAACAATCCCGCTAAGTTTGTTTGCCTCTGTTCTGCTTGAAAGCAAGTGCCTGCCTCCAACAAACTGTTCAAACAAAGAATTTTGCTTCTGGCGATTAGATTTATGATTAGAAAATTACAAAAGCAGGGTAGACATGTGGATATTATCCGGCTGAACAAAACGTTCATTTATCTAACAGGTTTGTTTTCCACAGACCTTATTCGAGCTATTTTCAAAAACCCTATGGAGAAATCCCATTGCTTTTTTGTCGAGGGAACCCATGCGCAGTTTACTTCTGGGTAAATACGTCATCCCTGCACCACTCTATCAGTGATGTAAATAGGTATGAACCTCTGTTTCTCCATACACTCAATTGCGGTGTTGGGTTTAACCTCATAAATCATTATAAAATGAGCTCTCAACTGACACCTAAATCAGTAACCACAATAAACAACACGGTTATCTTCAACACAGATTTGTGTGCAGGACCAACAGCAGATGAAGAGAGAGCTGCAAAAAGCATTCCAGTATGTCCAGATAGTTAATATGCTTCAGAAAGTCTTCAAAAAGTCATTAGTGTACTCGTCGGATTGGTTTTCTTTTGTGTTGTTGTTGTTGCCTGCAGCTTCTAGTAAAATATTTGTTTTAAAGCCTCAACACATTTGGATCTCAGAAGGGAAATCTTGCATCTTCAGTTTTTGTTTTTACCAAAGTGCATCAGAACCATTGTAGATTTAAAAAAGTTGGATTATGAAACTAGGGGAGGAGGAAATAACTTGCAAAGTCGTACATTTACAGGGGGAAAAAAATAAATGTACCACAAAAATCATTATATATATTCTCTTATAGTATCTACTACATAATATAGCAAGACAATTGTGAGATTTTTTTTTTATCTGAGATGAGAGTGACAAATTATCAAGAAAATAGTTATGCTAATAGGTCAAATCTGCTGCACAAAATGTCCGTCTTTTGGATAAAGCCTTTGTTTTACTAACTTGTGTGTGAGATTTGATCATTGGCATAAATGAATCTCCTAAATTGCCATAAATCATAATTTTATGTACGTTTCTCGATCATCTCGCTATGTCTTTTCCTTTGTGTAAGTAAACTAGCTGAGTTTGAATCAGATACATTTGAATAATGCTAAACAAGTGTGCATTAATATTTCAAGCTCTCTAATGACTGATAATTTGTAGTCGGTGTGTAGAGCTATGAAATATTATGTAACATGCAGGCCACAGACTCGCACTCATAAAAGGCGCTGTACTGATATAATTACTTGTAGATCTTTTCTTCTTTTTTTAAATAAGAAAATAATTCAAATCCATTCTATTGACTGTGGCTTCCCAACTACGAAGGATTATAAAAGGTTGATGTCTAATTCTCCTACAAAATTGGGAGAAAGAATACTTAAGAGTTCTGTTTGTGTACTTTTGAATGGTCATTGAAAACGACATGTGTCCTTATAACCCCTGGATTTTAAGGCACTGCAAGACATTCATGCTCACCTGTAAGACCCAAACATGACTTTCTCTCCGTCCACCAGCATGTATTTGGAGCACAGGGACCCGGGCAGCTTTCCAAACGACAGGTTCAGCCCTGAACCTCTCACCATGCGCACACGGAGATTCTGTAAAAAAACACCCGCTTGATTACACACTTCATCTGGCTTAGGAGGACACAGGTGAGCCTGAGTAAACTCTCTCAGCTTTTAAATGGGCCCATGTACAGTATATCATGCATGACGTGCCAAGACAAACTGTGCACACATTGCAACATTAAGTCAACTGTCCTGATAAAAATAAACTAACCCTTTGGACACGTGTGTTTACTTAAAGGGCTGAGAAAGGAAAGAGACAGAAAAGGAGACACTAAACGGACACACTGGGAGGAGGCTTGGCTCTGCCGGAGCATCGGGTTACAGTCTTTGGATCTGTTCTCAGAATCTATGAATGTTCATTTGTGAGAAGTAAGAGTAACAGAGCCCAGCGCTCTGAAAAGGCCTTTCACTGCCGTATCAACTGACACCACTATAACCAAGGAATGCTCCAGTTATACTACACAGGAGCTACAAAACTCAGCTGGAGCAGATAAGGCCGGGTATTGTGTCCCTGTGGGGGTAGAGTGACAATCTGACCCACTGAACTGCTGTTCCAGTGAGATTAGACCTGTATGAAATGTTAGTTTATAAAAGTAGGAGGATTATGTTTAACCCTTAAATAAATAAATGGGGGGAAAAGGCCTTTTTTTCAGCATCTTATATTTTAAATTCCTCAAAGATCTTATGGCAGACATCCCCCCTTTTATACTTTTTAAATATTATTCTTACATTCAGAGCTTCTTGTGATGTTTTCAAATTAAGCTTTAGGTGTCTTTCGAAATGTTTAATGACATCATCACCCAATAAAAAAGGGAATTTGTTATTGTGATTAGCTAAATGGAATTTATGGTGCTGAGAGATTGCTGATAGGCCTCCCTGGTAATAAAGGTGCAGGCTTTTCTTTATGTGCGTCAAGCTCGGAAGCAAACCGTTTTTGACCGCAATGATCATGTCGTACCTCCAATGGTGACAAATATTAAGCAGAGTATTTTGTTGGATAAAACATGTTGTGAATGTTGGAAATGATTGTATACTCGGTACATCCCTAAAATAATTTTTTGAAAAATGGGAAATGTCCCTAACAAATTCAATTTGTTCTAATATGGGCAGTTTGAAGCTTGTAGGTCAAAAAACATTGGCAGAAACATTCTCTTACATTTATGTCACAATTTTACCAGAATGAAAATTGGAAAGATTGTGCTTAAATGTGTTCCTCGTAAATGTATGACAGAAATATTGCAGAATATCTGGTAAATGTAGGACTTCAAAACTGTTTTTTATCCTGGGAACATTACCTCCAACCTCTGGCTCCAGTAATTTTTAGATTATGTTTTAATTGCAGACAAATTGGGATAGTACGTTGTGAAAGAACCATACAATTTGTTTTAATCCATGATAATTATTGCAGCCACTGCCATTGTGGATTTAAGGAGGAGAAGAGTGACCCACTCTCCATGTTCCCTCTTTGTGTGTTGTAGGAGGGAGCCTCCTCCCTCCGTCATGCTCTCCTGTGTTTGGTGAGCTCACCCGCAGATGGACTGCATTAATCTGCAGCCGTGTGCACATATCCAGGAAGTGGGGCACTCCCCTGGCCTCCAGCACAGCGTAGACAGCCACCCCCCGCCGTGATGAGGCATCCAGCAGGTCCTGGAGGATCTGCAGGTCTGTCAGCAGGTCCATCACTATGGCCACCACCTGGGGAAAGCAAGTGGGGCGGGAGAGGAGGAAGGGGGTTCAATGCAGCTAAACAGAGCGACAGCAGCTGTGGTGTAAAGTAACTAAATACACTCAATCCTAGTAATTAAATTGGATGCGTCTTTATACTATTGAAAACATTTTAGAGGGAAATATAGGGATAAGATTACAGATTAATATTTTAGATCTTACATTTACGATGGGATTATAAAATAGTATGCATTGTTACCAAACCACTGGTTCTCAACCCTATTTATTAGACATACTACCACAGCCCAGTCAGATTATTTCATCCATTCACCCTTAACATTCAGCTATCAATGTCAACTATGGACCAGCATTTAGCTAATTATCTCATTTTCTTAGTAAAATTAAGATGAGTTCAAATCTGTTTATTCATTCATTTTGCTGTTTATCGATGGCTACTGCTTATCCATTACTACTAGTTACATTCACATAAAGTTCATTTTCTTTTTTTAACTGTAAGAACATTTTCTATGGTTTTGTAAACCTAATCAAACTTTTTTCACAAATATTCAGGGAAAGACTTTTGCTGGCTTATTTTTTGTATTATTTAAATGGAGTGCATTCAGGATTTCTAGATCTTTTTATTGAAAGTACATTGAAGCATTGTGACAATCACCTTGAGCAGGACAAAAGACAAGACACCTGAGATTTTCCTTGTTTGCCTGTATTATTCTGGAATCCCTTTTTTTCCTTTTGATTCTCTTTCCTCATATCCATTTTGTTTACCAGTAAAATAAAACCTCCCCAGGTGGATATGTTAAGATGTGTGTGTGCACGTTATTGATGTCACATGTTCTTTTATTGGGGTTGATTTGCATCTAGGAAGCTTTTATAACAAACCATACCGCCTACAGCAAAATTAGGACTCATAACCATTTTTAGCAACTCCCACTTTCGGCAAACACAGCAACAAAGGGCGACATATTATTACTGTGTTATTATAGTCTATGTAATTGTTATTTGCCAGGAAAGCATCAGTTGATACTGTAATTCATGGGAACTTGTTTTTCCGGGTGATTAAAAGGTTACTCTCTGTTTTGGACGAATTCCAGCAACGGCTGGGATTAGCATTCTTAATTATTTCAAAAGCAGATTCTTTGCTCAATACCATACATAACAGTACACGATCCGAGCTGAAGATAAATCGTCCTGCAACAAGACACAGCAGGCTAAACATTGTACAACAACAAAGAAAACTATTAACTAACACGCTTTCCATTTTAGCACTCTTGTCTTTAAGGCATCTTTACTGCGGCCTATTTTGATGAACAAACATGATGAGCATTTGCAATGAAGCGTTTAACAGCCACACTGGGTTTCAAATCCGTGAATGCAATGCAGATCATGCAAGGCTTTTAGCATTTCCTTATTGCACCTTACGTGTACTGTACATGTTTGGGCCTGATCAGTCTCCAAACAAGTTTTGCTCGAAGACAGTTTTATGTTGACAGCCGCTGGGTTGATTTTCATTAACATCCACCATTAAAACTAAACCATGCGTGAGTCTTTAGCATGTGTTAGCAAATAATGAACTTGAGTAAATGTACTAAGACATACAGTACACCAACTGCAATTTTCAGAACGGTTAAACACATAACTTAAACAATAGCTTTCTTAACTGACTGCAAACATATCTTTGTCAATAGACATTTCCTGCAACATTGCGCTTTTTCTTGAAAGTAGTTCAACCAGAAAGCTGATTATTCACAAGTCATGATATATATCTGGCATGAAAATCATTTCCTTCTTGCATTCAAAGCTCATAGCCCTAGTATAAAGTCAATTGTAACTTCAGGATAGCTAAATGCAGAAGTACAGTCAACTGTTTGGCAGGCTTTCATGAGTAGATAATTTACTTTACCTCAAGGGGAAGAATCTCAGTGTCGTCAGATATTATGCTGTCATGGCCCTGAGTAAGCTATTCTCAAAAGATAATAAAGGAGGATAAACTTTAACACTCAATCAAAAGAAAACATGCATCGCTGTTACATTGATTAAAATGACAGATTTATCTAGGTTTGAAATAGTTCTGGAAGATAAGAAATGTATTTTTCTTTTCTCAGAGAAAGGAGAGGTAGTTAACGTCAGCAATTAGCAGCATTTAAGGTTCCGGAGAGTTGCACTATGGTGCATTCAGGTTCTATTTACTCACATTCGCACTGAAAAACAGATATTAGAGAGAATTATGACTTAACTTCCTCACATAAATCAGTGGTAATAAAGCAGTGTATTTTGAAGTACATGGGATGTGTTGATTTATTTGAGTCTCATCCAATTGGTATTGAGAATCATTGAATTTCAATGATCATTTCATTGGTATCGACTACAAAGTTTCTGAAATTGCGAAATCCTGACCTTTAAATGTATTTAAATAACAGGTGTGCAATATTGCTTTCAAAGGGATCTGACTAAGCTATCTTCAAGCAGTCAAACTCTCTGGTAAAAACAAACCCTGTTACCACAACCTGCGACTGTAGCCTCTGATGCTTCCCATCACACCAATCACCAGTGAACGCTCCCCTCTTTTGGCTAAAGCTTGCATACCTCTGGGGTCAAACATCCAGAGGGTGGAGGGAAACAAAGACGTTAAGAACCCTAACATGGCGGGGGAGGCAGAACAAGCCTATCTTTCTGCTGCAAGTCCTGATGTGAAGCTGACATTTAGACCTTCTCCATCTGCACATCGTATGACTCAGCTTGTTTAGACCTGCATTAGACTCTCCCAATTATGTACGTTTCTTTATTAATGCCGTGGGCTTTATCAAACCCTTCCCTGCTTTATATTGTAATGGAAAATTCTGCATGTGCAAAATATGATTTTGTATTCATGCACGTTTTAACAATTTTCTGTATGTATGGTAAAAAAAGTGGTTATGTCAAAACTGCAGATTAAATGTTATAATGGTCTGTGGGAGGTTTAACCTTCCTGGGCATATTTATGTCCCTACTCAGTCTTCTTTTGTATCTGTATCTACCTGATTGTACTGCTTTTAACCGTGTGTACAGTATATTAGCAGCAATTCATAAAGACACACCCCTGTCAGACGTTTAGTAACTTTCTTTCTTTAATCCCCCAGGAGATACACTGACCTAATGTAGGCAAACCCACATTTTTAAGAAAAGAATAGTGCTTTTTCAAGACAAAATCAAAGTGCATGTAAGTTATGAAGCTAGTTATGTGATTGTTATTTAAAACATAAGTTCTAAATGATTCTGACATTATCATTATCTAGCTATCCATCACATGATGAAGGAAGTCACTCCTGCAAGCTGAAACAGAGAGTAGCTCTGCAATGCCGTTAACCATAATAATAAATCTGGGTATTAAAGCTTATTCGCCATTTTTACTTTCGAATAACATGTTGAAACCTGTCCGAAGTTTGTCAGACGGACCATAAATCGGATTAATAGAGTCACTTTAGTTCTTTGGGTTTAAATCAGTATTAAAAGAATATCTGACCCATAATGACATACTGTACATCACAACATATCCAGGAAATACAGAGTTAGATAGATAGAGAAAGATACTTTATTTGAGATGAACAATATCACTCTCATAGCCCTCCGTTAAATGTAAGATTGCACCTTCTATCTGTTAGCATAGCATAGAGGCTGTCTGATGGTTCCCCAAACACTTTCTTTTCCTGATTTGAATTTTGTAATATCTTTAGGTTTTATACTGACAGAAGGGGACATTTATGTGGGACGATTAAGGGTATATCAAAATTAAAATAAATGTAGAGGTCTCCTGTTATACGATTTGTAGGCATATATTATAGGTCTCAGATATATAAAAATATGTCTATGAAGTGTTTTGCTGAAAATACCAAACAGATACCCCATTCTAGCCATGCCTCATACCTCTCTATTTCAGCCCTGTTAGAGGAGTGCTAATTCTGGGTCTGTAGCTTTAAAAAAAAGAAAACGACTTTTTTTTTAAAGAAAATAAGAAGGGGGGAGCTTATGCAGGAGAATTCTACCCAGATACTCAGCTAAATGCTACCTCGATTAAAGACAGATCATGTTGAAAAATAAAAAAAATCTGATAGGGCCGTGGGCATAAAGCCAGCCCACATTTCCGATATTACGTCATATCGGCAGCAAATCTGGATTTCCTCCGTTGTACCCACTTTTTAGAGATTCGGGTACGGAGGAAAAGAAACAGGGTTTTGTTTTCTGACACTTTGTGAGTTCCATTAAATACAGAGGACACATATTCATGATGTTTTTTTGACCACATTCTGACATTTAATAGACCACACAATCAATAAATGTATCTATAAAAATGTTTCAGATTTATATCAGTAATGAATTGTTATTTGAATCCCAAATAACTCTACGTGTATACACTAAGGCAGTGGTTCTCAAAGTGGGGGGCGCTCCCCCCCAGGGGGGCGCAGAGGCATGACAGGGGGGGCGCGAGAGACCAGGAGGAAAAATGGTTATAAAAAATAAAAAAAAAAAAAAAAAAAAAATGTTTTAAAAATTATTGATTCGAAAATAATATTATACAGTACTATTACGTCTGGGTCTCTGTGTTTCATTAAAGTTTGGCTCTGCGTGTGTGTGTGGAACGAGCCATTTTGTGTGCGTGCGCGAGTGAGAGCGCACCGGTACCGGAGATCGTTGTTGTTAGCTTCTGGTGCTAGCGAGCTACGCTAACGGATATAAGGAGCTTTTTCAACAACAAAGTGGAGGAGAGTCCTCTCCTGTCAGAATGAGAGACTCAGTGAGCTAAAGGACTCTCAGTGTTATCTCAGTCGGTCTCAAACGTTTTTGGTCACCATTAATGTAACACAAGTATTTATCCGGAGGCCCCACGTTTATATGATCATTATAGTTATAAAAAAATAAGAGAATAAATTAAAAACAGGTATGAAATACTATATGACATTAAAAAAAGAATAACGTTAAAAAGGGAGTGATTTGTAAAATATCCATAAAGAAAAAGTAAATCTGTTTACAGTTCTGTTTCAAATGGGTGTTGAGAGATGTATCCATAGATCTCTTCATGTTGCTCTCAAAGTGCACCAGATTGATGCTTTTAACTTCAATATTTAAAAATCTTCCCAGGGGAGCTTGCCCCCTGACCTCCCTATGTGAGGTCCACACACCACCTATAAAAATAACACTTTACCCCTGCTTACACCTATATGCCGTGAGCTGATTATCGAGCCTTCATTGTAACAGTCGCGGGTACACTGTGTGTGTGTGTGTGGGGATTGTTACAACAGTAGAACATTCCACTGTAGCGACCAGTACATTAATGGGAAACCCTAAATGTTTGAGCACCCTCTATGAAACGTCAAGCTACCCCACAGCACCCCCAAAATAGAATCTCTGGCGCCGCCACTGAGCCTGACTATTTGTGTTGGGGGGGCCCGACTTTTTTTTTTCTCCAAAGGGGGGGCCTGACAGAAAAAGTTTGAGAACCACTGCACTAAGGGATGACTTTTAAAAAGCTATTAATTTTGGTTATAAGAGCTTTAACTATGGGTCTTTGTTTAAGTTTTGGTTTCGATAGAAGATTCCATAACTTTAGATTTCAATGTCAATGTTATACCCTTTCTTTAGTAGAATTGTATAAATTGGAAGGCTAACTAGGTAATCAGCCTGCCGGTAATTAGCAGCTGGCGCGGTTGACCGCGTATGCGTGGTGAACTGTGTGTTAGAAAAGATGAGATCTCAGACTGGCTTACCTGTACGTCAATCAAGTGGCAAATGCCATAGTAAGGATGGAAGATAGGATAACTTTTTTTAATGATTTTTCAATGCCATGCGATCTACCCACACTACCTTTGCTATCAACCGGTCGATCGCGATCGACGTATTGGGCACCCCTGCTATAGATCCTGTCATTCATTACATGCTTTAGCATTTATTAATCAAATACAAGTGGAGTGACCTTGATAGTTTACGCCTGGGGGCAAATTGTCTGTTTCACCTGCAGGAGGCGGTCACATGATCACCTGTAGCCAATCATTTTGAACATTTCTCGAGCTTTGTTCTGTTGTCTCTGAACTGGTTGGGAACATGAAGAACAAGAAGATACATTACTGCACGTTAAGTAATTAAGGGGCATACATTGTGTTTCCCTTTACTTTAAAAAAGGGAAACATGTATAAGGTTCAACATATTTGTCTTTGCTGAACATAAACTTTTTGCTTCTCGAACAATTCTTTATGTGTATATTATTTTTTGCACACTTTTCAAATGAATTTCATTGCATGCATTGTATTTGGATAAAAGCAAAAATTAATGCTTTTAAATTACAAAAGTCTCAAAACAATAATTGTCTTGTGTATGCCGCAATTGAGTTATAGCTTTGCAAATGTGAACATGTTCTACTTTAATTAAATATGTATTGGTTTGGCACTGTTGCTCAGACAAAACAAGATATATAAAACCTATATACCCATTTGCTTTGGAAAACTTTTATAGATTATTTGATTGATCACTACAGAAGTTTAATTGCTTTAATTTGTTTGTGGCAGTTGTTTTTAAGTAATGAGTTAATGAGTTTTACTCATGTCGCCTCGTGATTTTCACAAAAACAAAGTACAATTTCATACAAAGTATTGTGCCTATATGTAACCATTAATTACAAGAGAACATTTTTAACATAGTAATTTCACCAACATTTAAAATAAAACGTTTTCTGGTGAAAATAAAATTGTAGTTTTTTAAAAAAGCTCTACCATTTTTTTTTTAAAAACACTTGTTCACTTTGTTACATTGGAACCATTTCATTTTTGTAATACTTTATTTAGATTTGACTACATTTGCTTCATACTTTTTAAAATAAGAATAGACTTGATATCTTTTTTGATTTGTGTTTATTTTTGCGGGCTGCAGTCATCACTCACTCATTTTATTGTAAAGCCCTTTGTAACCTTAGCTTACCTTTTTTTCAACAGTTTGGTATCTGCTTATTTAAATGAAAACCCTTTTGTTATAGGCTAGTATGTTATTATATATCCTTTTACCACAATAATGTGTCTAGATAGGACCACACATATTGTTGTATTAATTAAGTAAAAGTTACCTTGTGTGCCTCCTGTATGAGCCTCCTCACCACCTGCTTGATGTGCGGCCCGGGGCCCCTGGGCGGGTGGGAGTGCACGCTCACCCGGGTCACCCCCTTGTAGACGCCGCTGCTGCCCGGCCAGCCGATGTCAAGAGGCGGGACCTCGGTGTCGGACATCTCGGGCCAGTATGTGGAGTGCACCCCGGAGTCCGCGCTGGAGGACCCCTTGGACTTCTCCTGGTCACCGGACTCGCAGTCACTGTCCGTGTCGTACTCGTTGAACATTTTCCGGAGGGACCTGATCTCCCTGGCCGAGAGGAAGTCTTTGATGTTGTCCTCCTTCAGCCGCATCTTGAAGGCTCCGTCCCCGCTCTTCAGGAGCCGCTCCAGGGCGGCCCGCTGCTCCTCGCTGTAGTAAAACTCCGGTTTGGTCTCCGGGATCTTTTCGTTGACATGCTCATCGTCCATGCACAGCAGCTGGGAATCCGCCATAGCCGGTTTAAGTTACCCCGAATCTGGTTACCTGTGGTATACTGCAGGTGCTCCCAGGTGAGTGGCTGCAGGAGGCGGGACTGACTACTGAGTGGAAGTCAACACGGCAGTTTAAAGCCCCCCCCCCCCCCAATTTATTACAGAACTTCCTGAAGCAAAACTTTCAGAATAAAATAAAAAGTTGTTCGAAAGAATTGTTTGGGAAGGTCAGCTGTTTCAATCAATGGTGGAATGTAAATCAATACATTTTAAGTTATGTAATCAAGTACTACTTTTAGGTACTTTACCTGTTTATTTTCACTATTGCTTTTTGCAATATACCATTATTCAAGGCAATAGTACATCTATGCAGAAAAGGGTCAGTTTGGTGGTGCATGTAGGTGTTTTTCATCAAGAGAATGGAAATGATGTGTACGCCCTGGCTGTGGCGCACAAGGTTGGTTTACATGTGTCTACATGTTAAAGGGTCCTAATAAACATACTGAAGCTGCTGCCATTGAAGTGAGCATATAATTGCAGTCTATTTCCATAATTTAATTCATACATATAAGTTTTTTTTTAATCATATATAAAGAAACACTTTCTTGCCATATAGTTTAAATAAAAGTACCATAGGGAAGCTTTTATTGTAAAGGCTACATTTTATTACTTTGGTTTTATTTTGGCTGGTTCAGACAACCCTCAGAGACACGAAATATGACTTAATAATTACCTCGATAAAAACATTTCAGGTTTCTATATAAATAATTAAAACAATAAAACAAATCTAATAATAATAATTTGAAAACAAAAATGCTTTAAAGGAGGAGTTTCTTTGCAGAATTGTTGTGGTTTTCCTTTGTATTTCCACAGAAGTACCTCATGACTCAGATTATTAAATTAAAACCTCAAATCAGTGATAACAACAATTTTATTGCGAGGAAATTACACATCTATGGTAAGTATTCAAACCTCTTGGAAATCAACTGAACTAATAAAAAAAAAAACTTTATGTGGTATAAAATGTGACTACACTTACAACACAAGCAGACACAGTTCATCAGCAGACCGGCCAACAAACATTTGGCTGGCTTTGGAAAGTTCATTTGGGTGTGTCTGTGACCTTTTAGATGTATGAATATTATCTGAAAACAGTATCTGACTCACATTCCTTGATGAACTTGAAGTGCTGAGGTTAAATAAGTCAGTTAGTCAGCAGCTGCAGAGCGAGTCTGTGAATGCGTGCAGGCTCAGTAAGTGCTTCGCCTGCGGTGTTTTCTCAAAGCTGCGTTGTGTAATTGGCAGGAAACAGCCCGCTTTTCCCCCGCAGCTTTCCTCTCCACCACGACGGGTCAGAGCGATCCAACACCTCAATGATGTCGCCCGTGCTGAAACCCAGTTCATCTTCTTCTTCTGCGTTGAAGTCGTACAGCGCCTTGACCTGCATCGTGGACGCCCTCTAAGGGACAGAAGATAGGTAAAATGTTGGTGATAAATATCAGTTTAAAGGTCACCTATCATGCTATTTTTAGGCAGATCTCAGATATATAAAAACATATAAAAAACATCACCCATTCTAGCCATGCCTCATATCCCTCTATTTCACTTCCTGTTTAAAATGTGCTGATTTTATGTATAAAGCTTTAAAAAAAAAAGATTGATAAAAAAAAGCCCGGCAGCTACTGTCTAAACTAAATACTGCCGTGATTAAACGCCATATCATGGATTATCAAGGATTATTTCTGAAACAGTATGGAGCTCAAAGGCTTTCTCTCTTGCCGGTTATACCACAAGGTGAGTTTCTTTTTATTTCCTGCTTCTTCACACACATGCTCTCCAGTACAGGTTAGCTCTGAGTGTTAGCGATGCGAATGTAAACACCGACCATATTACGTCCAAAACAGTCGGGAATTGTTTCTGATAGCAACGTTTCTGATAGGGCCGTGGGTGTAAAGCCAGCCTACATTTCCGATATTACGTCATATCGGACGCAAATCTGGATCAGCTCTGTTGTGCCCCCGTTTTTAGAGATTTGGGTAAGGAGGAAAAGAGAGAGGGTTTTATTTTCTGACGCTGCGTGAGTTCCCTGACACACCGGGGACACATATTTATGTATAAAAGACATCAAAAAGTGCTTTTTGCATGATAGGTCCCCTTTAATGTCCTGTTTAAAGTGTTAACCATTATTTATGATTAAAAAAAACTTTCAGCGAATAGAAATATGTGCTGTTTAAGTTACAAATAACTTACATTTGTGATATAAAATAGTTTTCCCTGTAATTAACAAGCATTTTTTTTTTCAGGTGAGTTTTAATTTCTCAATGCAGTCTAAAAACTAGGTAAATATTTAGTGTATTATTAAGGTATGTAACATATGTATGTTACTTTCTTTCTGTGATATATGTATTTTAATTGGTGCCTATCTGCTTTTTAGGAAATTATAAATGTTATTAGTTTGTTAGAGAATTGGTTGATGGTGCACTTCAGCCTCTTGTGGCCAAAATGAGTTTTATAAGGGTTAGGGTTAGAAAAACAAGTTTTCACTCAGTTACACTTTAGACGCCTGCTTGAATGATGAAACAATAAAACTCAACAAGTTAGTTTTATTATCTATGAATGATTCAAGTCAGCATCAATGACAAAATCCTAGAGAAAACACTCTATAGGTTTTGTTAAGGAGTTTAAGTCAAAAAGTAATTTGATGATAAGGTTCTGCGTAGTTCTGTTTCTAACTGTTTGATTTTTACAAATAAAGAGAGGGGCTGACCTGAGGGGGGGGCAAAGTTTCAGATGCGCGATGGGGAGGAAAGCCAGCTCTGACAGGGCTGCTTCTTCCTGTGTGACCGATGGTGTGAGCTCGCTCCTCCAGACCCACTCTCTTGGCCTGGAACAGAAAGGAAAAAAGCACTTTAGCTGACTGTGCACTCAAACAGACAAGTAACAACTGATTCATAATTATCAACAATCATAGTATTCGTTCTGACTTGTGTTCCAAGCTTTATGTGAAGACTCAAATGCACTCACTGGTAAAGGAAAGGTAAGGTTAAACTTGAACAGGTGTTTATTGAAAATTAATTACAGCCACACGGAATAAGTGTAACTATCAAGTGCTAACAAGTTCTAAACCTGTTGCGATCCAAACCGGCATGCTTCCAAAGATCTAACCATAGTTCATAAACTATTTTTGGCCATGTCTGCTAGTATTGGCCATGTTCCATACTGTCGTGTTTTCACTCGTTATGGGAATATCGGAAAGTCGACTGCTGAATCAGCTGATCAGACACGCGAGGTAAATGCAGAGGTGGGAAGTAACTAAGTACATTTACTCAAGTACTGTATTTTCTTTAGAACATTTTTACTTTACTTGAATATTATATTTCCATGTTATACTTGGTACTTCTACTCCACTACAATTTAGAGCTAAATCATGTACTTTTACTCCACTACTTTTTATTCAACACCTTTAGTTACTTTGCAGATTTTGATGATTTGAACTATATTCAACACTTAGGGTGCATTCACACCTACAGTAATAGCCCGTTTTCTGGTGCGCACCAGACGACAGTTTGTTACATTGTTTCATTTTTCAGAAGATTTGGTTTGCATTCACACGGGCAAAACTCAAATAGACTATAAACTTTAAACACAAGTTATGTGCTCGGAAATGCTGTTCAACCATTGGTCAGACATTAAGGGGGTAAAAACGCAAATCCCGGCAATGTCTACCGGAGCCTCCGCCATGGAGCATCGGCACTTTCGGCAGGTTATTCTCATGCTGCTGTTAATCTGGAGATCAACAGACACTAGCGGCCCACGCATATGATTATATAATCAGACAACGTCCGTTAAAAAAAATTATAACACATATAATGAGAGACGCTCTGCAGTAAGGAGGATGTCTCACGAATACGTGAAAGCCCACATTGGATGAATGGATGGGCCAAACGTATTTTCACCCAAGTGAGCAATGTTCGTTTTTCATGTAAAATGAGATGTCAACATTGACATGTTAACTTATGTATTGTTAACAAACTTGAATCATGTATGATTCAGAAGTTTCCGATGGGTAACTTAAAGGGGACCTATCATGCTATATTTGAATAATATATTGTAGGGCCATACCTATATAAGGTATATTTATAAGTTTTATTTTTCAAAATACCAAACAGATCATGCATTTTAGCCATGCCTCATTTTGCCTCACTCCAGCTCTGTCTTTGCATGAGCTGGAGCTATGCTGTTGCCATGCTGTTGCTATGCTGTTGCCATGCCACGGCAACCTCTCATTCCCCTGATAGGTGGAGAGTTGACCATACAGGCGGAGTGCACCTCTGTGACATCATAGAGGTGCAAATCAGAATCCACATGTATCAAATCCGTTGCAGCCCTGTTTTTAGAGATTTGGGTATGGAGGAAAAGAGAGAGGGTTGTATTTTCTGACACTTGGTGAGTTCACTGGAACACCGGGGACACATATTCATGTATAAAAGACGTACAAAAGTGCATTTTGCATTATAGGTCCCCTTTAAGCCATTATCTATGCTCTTTTTAAAGCCACCAGACTCTATTGACAAACACATTCCTTTTAGATGCTGCCCTGCCACTGCCTTTTTTTTTAGTTATTGTGTTGTTTTCATGAATCCAGACTAACCTTTAAAAAAAAAACAGTTTAATAAAATATAGCGTACATTCCAAATGAACACATAAGGAAGCAAAAGTAAAATGTATACCAGCTGGTTGTGGGGCTGGTCTGAAGCTCTGCGCGTTGAAGCAACGATGGCTGCCGCCGTGTTACGTTGTTCAGGCAAACTTCCCCTCTTCCCCTAAAGGAAGGAAGCAGACCGTGACTTACAGGAACTACAGTATAAGCTGTCATTTCTATTTCTAGTGAACGCCCTGTGAACAACAAGGAAGGAAGCAAAAACATTTGAACTCATTCCAAATGATTCAGAAATGTAGGATATCATGTAACATATCATGTAACTTCCCAAACATTTTTTATATGATTTCTTTAACTTCCAAGAAATAAAATGAAACTGAGAAAATAGAGTGCAAATGTACCGGGAATACATACATACAAAACCAAAAGATTTGATCATGATCATTTTTACAGTTTTTAGTAAGTTAGTTTCTTCTCTTTTTTTGTTGTTGTTCATTTCTTATTATTTTTCAAGTGAGTTTTTTTATATGGCTCTCACCATTGTGTTTGTTAATATGGGAAAAAAGCATGGTTATACCATGTTTAGTTCTCTATCTTTAGATATTTTACCAACCACATTTTTAAAAAGAAACCCACCCGCCCAGGTGGAATAGTTCACTGTGGTGTAACCTTTTCATGGCTTTGAAATCTGCTTTTAGCAAGTTTACTGAACTATTGAAAATCAAAACTAAGCCCCTGTGTGAAACTGAACTGTCTCTTACCGCCGTTGGCGTGGGGGGGCTCTTACTGTCCGAGCTCCCGTCTTTGAGGTATATCTCCCTGGTCTTAGAGATGGAGGTGGACTTGTAAAACTCCACCAGCTTGTTTAACGAGGTGAACTTCTCCGACCACAGGAAGTACTGCCCTTTGTTGTCTTTCATCACTTTGAAGTGCTGAACATCACTCTCATGCCTAGGGGGAAATATAGCATGGACACAGAAACACAGAGTAAAGTGCAAAGCCACATTAAGACACTTACAAGGTCCATTGACAATCACTTTAAAGAAATACTTAATCGAAGAACATGTTGCTTTCTCGCATGCCTTCATGTTGAAAGAAGAATCCAAAAACTCACACAGAATTCGTGGAGCATTCCTGTTTAAGAAATGCGTGTTTTTGAGAAGTATTGAGCATACAACTGGATAAATGATACTTAGATTTGTTTTTGAATCTAGAAAAACAACATTTTCTTCAAGAATTCAAAGTAGCGCTGCTGGGTAAGTATTTGATAAACAGAAATGTAGTGAGAAGTGTTGCTTTGAAAATATTTCGAGGAAGGACTAGGCTTCTTGTGCAGCAACATTCCAGAGGTTTTCTAGTTTCCTCGGCTGGATTGTCCTCTGCTGGTCAAAGGACAAAACTACAACCTCAATATTCACTATGGCCGAATCCTTATCTAAACACAAAATCCCTAAAAAAACTCAAGAGGTCTGAACTTTCCTAGATTTCCAACAACCGACCTCCAAGCATTCCAGGTGCAATATGTAAGAACTATGTGTAAAAACAACTGCTTTTAACTCTTGTTGTCCTGTTGTTTGTTTGCTCTTATCATTGTGTTCTGTTGTACTCTTGGTATCATTGATCATGGAAGTCCTGAGCATAAAAAAGCAACCATCAGAGTGTGCAGATCTTTTTCTCTGGTGGTCTGAATATCTGCAGACACTCATAGGTAAACTAACTCAACTTGTTTACTGTGATGCTCCTGCAGCTGTCTCCTTCTGTAAATATGTAAGAGTCTTGCAGAGTTTGCAGCATGTAAGTGAAGCAAAGTAGGCGAGAAAATGAGTCAGAGTTGAAATCTTCTTTATATAATGATACGCGCAAAGGAAACATTGGGTTTACTGTTTCTGAGGGTTGAATTATGTGGGAGTGATTGTGAGAGATCTTTTCTAACAGGCTTACATTTGATCCATTTAAATTATGTTGAGCCACAACATCTGTTCTTATTTGGTGTTTCTTGTACCGTCATACTTAGGACAATAATCTAAAAGTATATCTGCGAGCATTTCTTAAATATTCAGTTTTTATGAGAAACTTTATTTCTAATCAAATTAAACATATTGAAATAAAGTAATTTTGGATTTATTTTTCATTGTAAGGCGTTTTAATGTGCATTTCTTGTATTTAAAATGCTATACAAAAACGGTGTATTATTATGAATACTAATATTATTATTAGCACAGAAAACAACAGGAAGCATACAGATGATTTATATTTCTAGAGTGAAGCTTTCTTAAAGCTCTTTACTGATTACACAACAGTATGAACCTTTAACACTGGCATATCTTAAATGCCATGACACACTTACAATATTTCTGACTGCAGCTTTAAGGTTAAAGAAAAGGAAGTTGTTTTTTTTGTTTCTAACTTTAGAAACCAACCTAAATCCACTTTTATCTGGATCTAAACAAGATTGAAAAGACAGGATTCCATTTGGATATACTTGTATCGGGGTTTCCGCCGGTCAAGTGTTCGGAAATAATACATTTTACCGGACAAATTAGAAACTTACCGGTCATGTTTCAATAATAATAATAATCAGAATTGTGTAGCAGAGTTTCCGTTAGCAGGTAATTACAGGACTATGACCGGTAATATATGCTGATGTTTAAAACTCAGTTAATGGGGCTCATTTTTATATTGCTTCACTTTATAATCATCATTATTACATTCAAACAAACTACTTATAGTAGATGAAGTACATTATTCAAAAGTTTACATTATTTTAGGATAATAACACGAGAATAATTAAATTTCTCTCTCCCTCTCTCTCTTCTGTATCAGACTCATGCAGCTCGCTGATCCAGTAATTAGTGACCCGACAGTGAAGAATAAACATATGTATAACTAGTTTAGCTAGTTCCAGAGGTAGATAAAGTGGCTAAGTGTGATAGGTCTAACTTAAAGTGTGTGTTTTGCTCCGCTCACCGGTCCGTCACAGGCAGCGGGCGGAGCTGTGATTCGGGAGAGCTGCAGCTGATCGTGATCTCTCTCTCTTTCTGCTTCACACGTTGCATACCGCCGTTTTATTGTCTTTTTGGACACCTTGAAAAGCTGCCAGACCGGTGAAGCCATTTTGGCGAGCTTCTTTTGCCGCACACAGAGAAAAGTCTCATGTATTTTGCTTCATCTGATCGGCTCTCCTGATCAACCTTTATAGAGAGCACCGATCAAACTATTAAGAGTGAATATCGGCCGATAATGATCGGCGGCCGTACGTTATCTAAGTTTTGTATGAGCATTATTATCGGACATTTCGACCGGCAGGTTTTGAATTTACCGTTTTTTTATAAATTTTACCAGCTAAAAACCGGTAATTACCGGCTAACGGAAAGCCTGACCTGTATATCAATTTTTAAGGGCAAGGGTCCTAACTCACTTGACAGAGATGGAGAAGTCTCCCGGGGAGCTCTGACACCCTCGGATCACAAAGTCTCCCACATCTTTGTAGCGGAGGATGTCCTCTGCAGCGTTACGACTGGCGTCCTCCTGAAACCACCTACACACACACACACACACACACACACACACACACACACACACACACACACACACACACACACACACACACACACACACACACACACACACACACACACACACACACACACACACACACACACACACACACACACACACACACACACAAACACAAACTTCTCTAGTACAAAATACAGTTTTGCACAAGTGGAGTTGACTGTTTACAGATAATTATGGCTGCAACTACTGAATATGTTCTAGATTAATCGATAAATAGTTATTTAAAAAGTTTTAAATGTCCATCCAAGTTCCGAAAGCCTGCGGTGATGTCTTTAAGTGTTTAGCGAATAGAATGAATGAATATGAATAGAATGTCATCCCATAAAGGTAACTCTTTTCCAGGTTAACTGTTTGAAACAGGATTTATTGTCTCTCACCTCGGTGTCTGCATCTCGATGTAGTTTTGTGGCACGAATCCTTCCAGCCCGTTCATCTCTGCTTTATACCAATCATCTTGTGGGCTTAAAACCTAATCAGAAAAATAATAATTAAAATAGAAAAATAAGAGCATTTACTGAAAGAAACAAAAACATAATATAATTACAAATGACTATGCAAAAGAAAATGCATTTGAAAATGGCAGTATCATGCAGGAAGCTTCACAGTATGGAGTATGAGGAAGTAAAAAAAATGTGAAGGCATATTGTTAAATAAATTAATCGTCCACTGACCTTAAGTATGTCTCCCTTTTTGAAGCTGAGCTCATCGTCTGCTGTTGCAGCAAAATCAAATTTCCCTCTGGCCTCCATCAGGACCGGCTGTAGTATCCAAAAGGTAACGAAGAGAAGAAGGCGCAGAGACAAGATCAGCGATGAGTTTCTGTTCAGGGAGGAAGAATGAATGAAATTATACTTTCTCAATCAAGAATTGAATTGCTATCGAATACAGTTTCCAAAAACTTAAACGTAATCAGAGTTGGGGGGGTTGCAATCTTTGTAAAAACTACTAATGTATGCATGTTTGGCAAAAGTATATATTGTTTTCTGAGACGTTTCTTTTTTTCTCTGAGATAAAACTTGCTGATTGTAAAGAGTAGTGATGTGTCGGTCACAAACGAGCCGATTCTTTCGAACGGCTCTTTGGTATGAACGAGGGGAACCGAGTCGTACTTGGTGAGAGCCGTTCTTTTTAACGTTCAATCGTTTGTCCGCACTCACTGCCTGCCAAAATCCCCTCGCCTTTTAAAAAGCTTGATTTTGTTCCCCAAACGTATTCTGTGAAGACCCGCCCCTACTCTGATTGGTAGGTTTCAGCACGAGGAGTGAGATGTGGGTGGGTCTTAACGGAATACGCGCGAGAGAGAAGTCATAACAAGTGGTACAGGACAGGTAGACGACGTGTTTTTCAGATGGAAAATTAGCCAAACGCAGCAACATTTGGATGCACTTCAACCAAAACCCAGGCAGTGATGAAACGCACCATTTGTAAAAAACGGCTCTTTTGAAAGGAACGGAGCCATAAAATCCGGCTCCCTTCAAAGAGTCATAATTCCCATCACTAGTAAATAGTGATACTTAACGACAGTGGTTTGAAGAGAATCACCAGATAATTTTTTAAGGAAGTCACAACATTTTTCTGTGTATTGAAAACAATTCATGGACCGGGACATTTTTGCAGCAAATACAGACATATTGCCTTTAACAAAGAACGCACCTCCAGATATTTGGATATTGGACTGTGCCCTATTGTTTAGCCCTAAAAAGGGTCTAAAACAAACTATTAGGGTTATTAAAAGTGGTAAATTAAACACTTGAATCCTATAACAAAACATAACGGAGCTCATTTAAGTTTAATCTAAGTAAAGAAAGTACACATTCACAGGACTATATGCACTGTAAACACAGAAGCCTATCAGTTTTTTCAGACTTGAGTTTTTTAGGGCACTTGAATACATGGAAACGATATGTAAAGCAACTGGAAAAAATTATTTGTAATGTATTTTTAAATTAGGAAGAATCACAAAAGCCACTTCTCATTTTGACTAACTGTTTACGGATAAACAAGCAGCAATGCCGAGGTTAGGACAACATTAGTGAAAATGTTATTCTCCAATTAAAAGAGATACACTTTTATAAAAGTCAGATTTTAAATTCAGTCAGAATTTGAATCTCATGACAGCAGTCAGTCTTACTTACTAATTTAGGTTTCCCACAGATGTGAAAACAATGTTCACTATCTTTGTGGTTATGAAGTGAAGGATGTGGTGAAGTAAACTGAATCTAACATCGCTTCACTCGTGCAGCTGTAGAGCGTTCTGCAAGCTTGAAACTTCTTTCAACTGGAGTACCATAGGAGTAGATGTACTGCTGTGAAACACCCGGTGTATTCATTTTCCCATGTGACAAACAAAAATCCCTCAATACAAAGATTCTACAAACAAAACTCTCAATGGTAAGATCTGTGGACGGATCTGCTGAAAGAATTCAAAATAATGTTACGTAATGGGCTGACTGTGTGTTGTAATAAAGCAAAATCAAATGAGCAAAATACCAGCTTGAATGAATAACTTCTGCTAATCACTGCCGGGGTTGATGTGGCTTTTAAATGTACTTAATTTGAACGAATGACTTAATAAGCTAATGTAACAAAGCAACCGACAACTGATCATGCAGCGTAGTTTAGTTACAGCTAGCTTGCTAGTCCTATCTTGCTAGCATGCGAACAGATATTGCTAGCAAAATACTGAATAGTGAATATTTTACTTGGTTAGCTTTTAATTTACTTCAACTAACATGATCCTTATTATAACATGTATTATGATATGGTTTGCTGACTTTACTCAACAATAAGTTATGTTACGGCTTTTTACGTGCCGGGAGCGATGCAAGGCAGGTGTGGAAGTATAAATAACACCAATCTCTTGTTTAATTTAAGATAGATTTAGCTATGGCCGAGAAAAAGAACAACACATGACTTTCTCACAACAAGAGAACACTGTTTGTCCAGTGAAAATCTAAATATGTGTTATGGCAACCAGTGTCTTTATTTAAGTGAATGATACGCGGGCTGGATTCGAACCTCGGTCCTCCGCATGTGGACCAAGCTGCAGTCCATTGGCCTTCAGTGTAACAAACTGAGCTATATTACAGGCTTAAGCTTACTCTTTTAGAACCAAAGCAGGATTTCTTTTCCTCAACCTAACCAAGTAGTTTTGTTGCCTAAGACCAAGAGTTGTTTGAATTTACAACGTCAACCGTGTGCGCTGGAATGAAAAGCTGAAACCAATAAAAAGTTTTTGATTTTGTTGAAAAAGGACAATTGAATAGTGATAATTTGATTAGAAGTAGTTGCCAACTCATGTCTTCTGTAGACTGGGGATCTAAGGAATCAATATCTTTTTGAGTATATTAAAGAGATGTCTACGTTTTTGTGACACAAAGATGATGCAGAGCAAGTTCCTGTAAGAAGTGTTGCTTTCAGTGTTTCTTTTTAAGTTTCAGTATTTTTTTAAACTACAGAGATGTCTCTCTCATTTTGCACATCAATCTTAAACTGCACGGTCCATGAGGGCAGAAGTTATCCAGAGAACAGAAGCAGCTAAAACTCTTTCTTTTCTTCCTTTTTTTCTGGCACAATCACAATGTTGTTCTGAATTTCTGTGCCTTCTTTTACAAATAGTGGACGATGTTCAGATCCTTAACTTTAACATTATTAATAATGCATTTTTTATGTGAGTATTATTAGCTAAATTATTAAATCGTAAATGGCTCCACAATATAACATATGATGTTATGTGATTGTTCGTCAATGTGTACGGAGTGTTTCACTGTAATAGTTGGTCAAGGAAGAGCTAGTTCTAGTGAATTTATATAAAGTTTGTTTGTATTTTTAAAACTGCCATGTCATAATAAATGTATTTTAAAATCTTAATCTATCCAAAAGCCTGTTGTCTTAAAAAGTTTGTTTTTGAAATATCACAAATAAGTTTGTAATCAAAGTCTGCGTAAGAGGAGGTCATGGAGAATGGATGAATTCACTCATGTAACAAACACATTACTTAAGTTACAAAACGATCATACTTATTTTCAGGGCCGCCCCTGGCCAATGTGTGGCCCCACGCAAAGTTATATGATGAAGCCCTCTGTGTCGCGAGCGTAGGGGGGGGGGGCCTCATCGCAGCGCTTACACTGTAGGTGCGCCGCATTTGCGCTTCATATGAGGCTCCCTACGGAAAATGAGGCTCCCTACGGAAAATGAAGCACCCTCCACAAGCTGAGGCCCCACGCACTCTGCGTGATCGGCCTGTAGGGAGGGGCGGCCCTGCTTATTTTGGACGAGTAGTTGAGTTTCAATTCACAACACTTACCACGTTGTGAAAAAACTGCAACCATAATAATATTACATTACTTGTTAGACGCTTTTCTCCAAAGCAACTTACTCAATACTGTGGACAATCCCCACTGGAGCAATTTGGGGTGAAGTGTCTTGCCCAGGGACACAACGACATGCTGACTGCAGTGGGGTTTGAACCTGTGCTCCCTTGATCTGAACACCAACGCTCTATCCACTGCGCCACACGCCTTCGTATAATTATATATAATAATATAATTATTATATATAATAATAATAATGAAAAATTGCAGATTAAAATGTCTCAGGACCCGAGGGAATGTCTTTATAATGGTTGTTTTGTCTGATCAAACCTGAAAACTAAGATAGATATCCACGTGAAAATTATGCTGAAGGAAAAACGTTGAATCAGCACCGTAGAATATTTAGAATCTTTGCGGATACATTTTTTGTCGATCTTCTTATGAAATAATTATTTCAGCTGTAGTTTTTTGTAAGGTCAACCGACATATGGATTGTGTAACAACTATAATTTTGTGAAATGTTAAAGGTCCCATGTCATGGCCATTTCTACTGATCATAATTCCATTGTTGAGGTCTACTAAAATAGATGTATATTGTGCAATGTTGGAACATTGCACAATATACATCTATTTTAGTAGACCTCAACAATGGAATTATGATCAGTAGAAATGGCCATGACATGGGACCTTTAACATTTCACAAAATTATNATCGATTTACTGATAGATTTGTGAGTCTCCATGAATGGAGTGACTCGGAGAGTCGTAGACGTCCCCTCGAGAGGAGTTGGGACCAACACCTTGTAGATGGAAAATTAGAGGTAACCGTGTCGTACGTGGTCTAAGATATTGTTGACGCGCCATGGCCAAGCGAGAAAAGAGAAGAGAGAGAGAGAGAGAAAAGAGAGAGAGGCGAGGGTGCAGCGTGAACCGGACACTCGACGCCCGCGCGGACTACTTCGGTTGTTGAGGGGGTGAAAAGCAGGTGAAGTCGCGGGTCTCATGTTCCGTTTATTTTTGACATGTGCCCACTTTCCCACAATGTGAAATGATATTCTTACAACAATGTAGTTCCGCTTTTACTCACGGTTGCCAAGTATTCATAAAAAAGAGGAGGGTCTCGACGTCAGGGGTCTAGACCGGGATCCGCTGGCGGATACGGTTCTTAGCCGGACGGGTCAGGTGATGTCACCGTTACAGAGTTCCTACAATCGTTTTGGGTAGAAAGCACTGGTAATGTCATTGTGTTTACTTGATGCGTTTAGGTATATTGTTAGTTGTACTTTAATAATAATAAATTAATTTTTTATTTTCCATTTTGTGAAAAAGAAAAACACATGGACCGACCACGAAACAGTATATATATATCCTTTTGTCGACATTAATTGTCAGGCTATTTAGTACTTTATATGACATTGCGAGAATATAGTAAAAGCGGTACAAACAAATCCTTCATTTCTACAAAATAATGTAAGCCGATCTTACTATATATTTGTTTGGGAAGCACGCTTTTGAAGGTCTTAAACTATCTTATCATGACA